GGGAAATTAAATCGAGCGCATGATTAGGGTTTTGACCCTTTTTGATTAAAGAAAATATCTTTTTGTTATTTTTTATTTTAAGAAAGAAATTAACCTAAATTAATTACTAAATTAAATTACATAAATTAATTAATAAAAATAAATTATTTTTGGGTTTTTGTCATTTTAAGAAAGAAAAATAAAATAGTTAGCAATTAAAACATAATTAAATCTAATTTAATTTTAATTATTTACAAAAAATAGGTTAAAGTTATTCTAATTAAAAAACTAAATTAATTTAATTAGTGTTTATTAATAAAAATAAAAATAAAAATTTGGTTAAATATAAAAAAATATTTTGTGGTTTTGTTTTATGAAAAAAAAAGAAATTTGATTGGTTAGTAAATTAAATAAAAATAATAAAAACAAATAATAAAACAAAGTAAATAAAATAAAAAGAGTGAGGGGTTTGGGCCTGCATTTATGGTGTGATTAGCAATTTGAAGCCCAATTGCAACTGGCCCTTTGTTGACTTTTGGAATCCAGTGGGCGTGCGTGGACCTGGCCTATGATGGACCCTCAGCCTGGGACTCTCAGATTTGGCCTTTGGCCATCTGGCCATTGGATGCCTGAGGGAGCATGATAGTTCTTAAACCCAAGCGTGTACCTGATTGCCTGCAAGAAATTTGGAAAATGCAAATTGCTGGAGGCAGGAATCGAACCCCTGACCTCCAGCCTTTGGGTCTCTAAGTGCCTATGTGGCCACCACTGGGACGCTTTATTGTCTTTGTTATTATAATGCAAAACATATATTATATAAAAAACAAAAATCAATGCCAGAAATTCAAAACGTGCGCACAACATTTGAATGGGCCAACCGGGGGATGACACGCACTCGTCCCTGTCCTCAGGCCTGTAATAACATTACCTGCAGATTTGAATTCGCAGCTAAATGTGCAGGCTTGTTCCAAAATTCATTCCAGGCCACAAAAATGAGTTCTAAAGGCATGGTTGTACTCGTCTCATCATCCCGGTCACAACCATACCCTTCTTGGTGGCCAATTATTCCTGAAACAAAAACGCCCAAAAATATCCAAGAAACCCTAGCTATGGCATTTCGCAATACAGGTCACGTAAACGAAATTAAATAATGCCAAAAGCTTAGAAACGTTATGAGGATCACAAATATGCAGTTAGTTTGTTCAAATGATGCAAGAATGATCCAAATCAATTTCAAGAACAGAGCTAGATATCGTGACACTTACAACGCTTGTGATGGTCTGAGAATGCTTGCTTTTGATCCAGATCGCTTGTGTGAACACCTAGGAAGAGATTGGGACCGGTCTCAGCTTCTGAAAATGCCTCTAAGCACGATTTCGATTTCAAGCTTTTTGTCACTTTTTCCAACTTTGTTTTGCCTCTTTCTACAGCCTCCAACCCTTATTTCGATCCCTCTTGCTTGCTTATGTACTATGGAGTGTATTAGGGTAAGAATTATGGATTGAATCTTCCCATATCAATGCATACATATTTGATTTGATCCCTTCTTTAAAACTTTTCAAATTTGCCAAATCTCAATCTTTTTGCACATGAATTGGTGAGATTCGAGTTTGATGATGATATTGATGATAATCAAAACCTGAAACAGCCAAAAAATCTTATGTAATCAAAGTTTTGGATTTTAAATGATTTAATTTGATTTAAAATGAATAAATTCAATAAAAAAATCAAATTAAATAATAAAAATTAAATAATCTTATGAGCTCATGTATGAAGCTAGGACACGTGGGAAACTATGCAAGCTCAAATCAAGTGGAAAAGAATGGGCCCATTTGACAAAATTTGAAGCTTTTGGGATAGTTTACTTTTGGCAATTATGCAAAAATGTCCAACTTCAACAATGCATAACTTCTTCAATTTTGAACTTTTGGATGTGTTATGTGACTTTTTAGAAAGCTGGAGATGTCCTCTAACCAACCCTTTTAGTCTCATCTCAATTTGATATTTCATGCACAAGTTATAAGCTTTGGAAAAAAATGTGTTTTTGTTGACTTTCAAAAATGACCTATAATGTCCAAATTCATATCTTCTTGTGAGTGCATTTTTTGATCTTGGGGTATGAATATGGATTGTAGGAAATTGCATCCTCTTCAAAATGAGTTTTGGATGGGTCATTTCTCATAAAGTATGAGAAAGTTATGTTTGGTCAAAGTTGAGTTGACTTTTCCTACAAAACCCTAATTTAGCAACTTTTGAATCTTGATGAATTTTGAGCAATCCTTGATGAATCATGATCAACCCTTGATCAAATGATGAAATATCCTTCAAAATTAGAATGTTGACAAAAATCTTGAAGTTTGATTGTATTTGGGTCACAGTTGACCTTTGCCCTAGCACAGTCGATTTTTGGACCCTTTGAGCAATTGACTGAGCAAACTTCCTCTACAAGGCTTGAAATTTGACATGGATGATCTTGAGAACATAATAGGACATTGGGGAGCACTTGAGGTCATTTGGACTCAAAGATCTTGATGCAACACAAAACCCTAATTTAGGGTTGACTGCCTTAGGTGATAGCTTGCCTGACCAACTCTTGAGTAACCTAGAGCCACTTGGAGATTTTTCTTGCAATGTTTTGAGAAATATGAGAGGGCAAATTTTGGGGTACAACAGCTTCTATCATCCAACTTCTTTCTTCTAGTTTTGGAACGTGTTTGTAACATAGAGAACCAAACACATTCAGATGACTAACACTTTTCTTGTCTCCAGTCCTTTTTTATAAAGGAACAATTTCCTTCAGCTTCTTTGTTGGACACCTGTTGAGCACATAAGCTGACGTAGCTACAACTTCTCCCCACAAGTTATGAGGTAGCTTCTTCTCTTTCAGCATGCTTCTGGTCATATCAAGCAAAGTATGATTTCTTCTTTCAGCAAGACCATTGTATTGAGGAATATAAAGAGCAGTAACCTCATGCTCAATTTCATTCTCATCACAGAACATCTAGAATTTTGTAGAGTTATACTCATCTCTACCATCCGTTCTGAGAATATTCAAATTCTGACCACTTTATTTCTCATCCTTCAACTTGAACTTCTGGAACTCGGTAAACACCTCTTGTTTAAACTTGATGAGTGTTACCCACGTCATTCTTGTGAGTTCATCCACAAAAATATCTATTTCCTCCAAGTGAAGGTTTTAGAAATGGTCCACACACGTCAAAGTGCACTACTCCCAAAGCATGTTTTACTCTTGGAGCTACTTCTGACACAAATGACAATTTGGGTTGCTTGCCTTTCATGCATACCTCACATGACTTCTCAGGCTTCACAATCTTCGGAATACCATGCATGAGCTTCTTTGAGCTCAGATGTCCTAAACTTCTGTAGTTTAGATGCCCCAACCTCTTGTGCCACAGCTTACTATCAGTGTCAGCGCCTTCTGCACTAAGGCATTATGTTTCAGTTGTTTCTACACTCACCTTGGATGTTCTGTTGCTTCCTTGTTCTGATTGCATAATCAGCTTCTGATTAGTATCATACAACTTCAAGAGATTGTCCTTAATAATAATTGAGAAACCTTTCTCAATGAGCTGACTCACACTCATCAGATTTCTCTTAATCCCAGGAACATACCAAACATCCTTGACCAGAACGGTCTTCTTATTCTTCACTTTAACTTTGACATTTCACATACCTTCTGCATTAAGGTACTTATCATCAACACACCTGATTTTTGTCCTCCTTCTGGAGTCAAAATCTATCAGCCATTGTTTGTTTCCAATCAAGTGATTTGAACAGTCAGTGTCTATATACTATCAATCTGCTAAACAGTTTCCATCAGACTCAGAAGCCATCAATAACACAGGATCATCATCAGAATCTCCTCTGGCTATATTTTCTTCTTCTGATTTCCTTCCATTGTTTGATCAGTAATCTTTAGCAAAATGGCCAAACTGCTTACAACAGTAACATTGAACTTTCTTTTTGTCAAACTTCTCATTTCTCTTCTGATGTTTCTTCTCATCAGGAGTAGAGGATTCTGACTTCTGGAATCTATTACCACGTCTATTCTTGGTTTCTGACCAAGAATGCTTTTGGTCCTTCTTGACAAAAGAAGCCTTCAAAGTCTGCTCAACTTCCCTCTCAGAAGTTCTTTCACTCAGACGCAACTCATGCGCCTCTAAACTTCTTTTCAGCTCTTCTATTCTCATGGTTTCCAGATCTTTAGAATTTTTAATTGCTACAACAATGTAATCAAATTGAGGAATAAGTGACCTCAATATATTCTCAATAATTACTTGTTCATAAAGGGTTTCTCCATAAGCCTTCATCTCATTAGTGATCAGAATCACTCTAGAGATGTACTCAGAAACCTTCTCATTGTTCTTCATGTTGATATTCTCATATTTCTTTCGCAGGGACTAAAGTTTTACCTTATCCACGGATGCATCACCACCATAGAATCTGACCAGTATGTCTCATGCCTCTTTCGTCGTCGTCGAATCAACAATATTCTCAAACACATTCATATCCACACACTGATGGATGTAAAATAACGCATTCTGATCTTTCTTCCTCTTGTCTCTCTGTTCATTTCTCTCTTCTTTCGCCGCATCTACTGCAACCGGAACATAGCCATTGGTAACAAGCTCAAGCGCATCTTGAGCATCAAATAGCACGCACATCTAAATCATCCATCTGTTCCAGTTCTTTCCATAAAAAATAGGAAGTTTGGTACTCATACTACCGTTTCCGTTCATCCTTAACCTTGTACAACTCACTCAGATCTCACAAGCACAGTATTTTCCAACCCCACAGAATCAGAAAAAAATTGTGATTCTGTTCAGATTTTGTTCAAGATTCAACACGAACCCATAATCAAAATCAATCACACAAACACCTCACGTTTCACTCGTGTTTCTCTGTGTTTCCCTGTGGATTAGAACCGGAGCTCTAGATACTAATTGTTAGTGCACAAGAATCAATGATGAACAAAGAATAAATTTAAGAGAGCGAAGAGAATGACGGTTGTAAAAATTGTAAGAGGAATAAATGTTGTTGTTGTATTTATGATATTTACAACTAGTCTATTTATACACAAAAGAAAATGTCACATAAGCCCTAATAGAATAGACTTAATAACTAAGTTATCTAAACAATTAGAATTACTTAAATACCCTTTAATAGAAACATGTCATCCTCATCACCTGTCAGGGCTCTCTAAAAATGAATGTTGGTTGTTATTCAAAGAATATGCATTTGTACATGAGGAAGAAGAACCAAAGCTTGTGGCAATAGGCAAGGAGATCATAAAGAAGTGCGGAGGATTGCCTCTCGCAGCACATGCATTAGGAGGTCTAATGCGCTCAAGAAGTACTGAAAAGGAACGGCTTGAAGTTAAAGAAAGTGAGATTTGGACTTTACCATACGAGAATGTGATTTTGCCTGCCTTGAGACTGAGCTACTTATATTTAACACCAACCGTGAAGCAGTGTTTTGGCTTTTGTGCTATATTTTCCAAAGATACAAAAATTATGAAGGATGATTTGATTCAGCGCTTGACTTTGAAATAAACTTAAGTGTTGGATGGAAATAAGAAAAAAAGTGGCCAATATACTTTTTGATGCAACTTGCAAAACAACACTTTGCTTTTTGAAAAAGTTAGTAGTTAGTGTTGTCCTATAAAGTAGGGATGCTAGTTGCAGGTCCATTAGGATCATATCAGCCATGCATTCTTCACTTCACAGCCACCGGTAATATCACAAAAGACTGTGATGCTTAATTTGGACTAATGTGTACACAGCATTACAATCCTCTATAAATCACTTTCTTAAGAATGCATATATTGTCTATCTAATCACTCTTGAATCTCACTTTGTACCATAATATTATATTTAATCTTAATAACATGATTAGTAATTGGATTAGAAGGAATAACCTCTTTGAGATTTGCTTAGAAAACAATATCTCGTGCATTCTCAATGATTAATTGACAAAGAAAGTAGGAAAATGACTTGTTTTACTTGAAATAAAGGAACAGGACTTGAAGTACAAGTCCATATCAAAATATACTTTCTCAAATAATAATTTGCTTTGAATAATACCACTAACAGTACCATCCACTCACATGCAAGTATTCAAATTTTAAAGATTTTGTATTAACTTGAAATCAATTATTCTTAAACATTAGAAAAATCCAAAAATCAACATTAAGAGACTTATTAGCATTGAGGCTTTCTCCTTTCATGAGATTTTATTTGTTACATAGAAACAAATTTGTCACTTCCTTCAAGTTGATATGCCGATAATTAATCAAAACTCTAATGTAAAAGAAGTTATATAGAGTTTTTTTTTTTGCATCGACTCAAGTCCGATATTGTCTCTTTCGAACTATATAAATCTTATGACATGACCAATCAAGTAAGATATGTGTCATTCTCAGTTTCTAACTCGCCTCAATTATTATATTGACTTGGGCATTAAAATGCATGCAGGTACACCTCCAATTGATTCACCACCATCTGCGAAACCTTTCTTCTCTCAATCCACCGTCATTTTAAGATCTTGTCTTTCTTGCATAAGATATTCACATAAACCTTGGGAAAAATCATAGACACTCTAAGCACTTTTGAGTTCAATTCACTACAACGATCCTTTATGCATGTGAATAATGTTGGGATGGATGTTGCATTTGGAAAACCATGTTATGTGGATAAGAAGAGTCATGAACAAAACCCTCTTCCATTTTAATCTCATAGGAGTTAACACCATGAGGAGGCATGAAGACTTGCTCATGAGCTGGATTGAAAACCATTGAATTTTGCTGATCATTCCTCCAAAGAAAATTTGTTGTAGTACTAGAACTTGATTGCTGTTGATGTTGTTGGTGTGAGAGTAACATGGAATTCTGCGGCGAAGTAGACCTATCATTGGTGTCTTCCGAAGAGCAAGATCCAATTTTTTCTGTGAGATTCACTGTTGTTATGTCATGAATGCTAGCCCTTCTCTTGTCTTTGCCTCCTGAAAGTTGTCTTATGAAATACTTTTGAGCATGGCTTGCCACTTGAGTTGGAGTCCTAGTGACAACGAAATTGCGCGAAATATTTCTCCAATCACCTTTGCCATATTTCTTTAGACCTAGTAGAAATAATCTGCAGGAAAATTCACAAGTTTGAACTCCAAAACAAAGTTCATCTTACTTAACCAAAAGGTAGAACTTAGGCACGACTAAAAATATAAGATGGCATTTGACGAATTTGGTCTAGCTCGACCCGATAAAACTAGCTTGTATTATATATAACCTATTCTAACTCAAGATGGTATACGAGTATTATAGTCAAACTCAACCCTACAAAATCAGTCTGTATCATATAACTTATACCAAAGCAAGATAGTATACTCTACAAAACCAACTCGTAAGGTCAGAATTATCTAAGCTTTAAACAAGTTAAAGGAAGGCGAAAATACTAATATTTATGCATATAAAAAAGGCAAAAATTTACTTGTGTTCTTCTTCAGTCCATGGCACACCTTTCTTCCTTTCATGCTCAGGAGCTCTAACTAAAGAAGATCTCTTTCCATTTCCTTTGGAAGCATCATAACCAGAATTGCCCACCCAATCTAAGGTAAAAGGTGAAGTAGGAGCACTATATCCAGGAACTGGTATCAAACCAGCTTCTATATTACAAACATCATCTTCCAATTCCTTGTACTGTCTCATAACATCACCAGCTGTTTTCCCCGGTATCATTTCCGCGACTTTATGCCACCGATCTGGAGTATCTCTGTCGTAAACTGCAAGAGCATTTTCAAATAGCTTGTTCTCCTCATGACTCCATTTTGTGCTTCTGTTTTCTTCCATACACCAATTGGAGTTTGAAGTGTATGATGTAGGAGTTACGAGTTCCATTTCCCACTTCATCAAATCAATTTTTCACGCAAATTCAACTTTTTTTATGGTTCTATAAAGATTGAAACTCTTTAGGAAAAACAGAGGAAAACAGAGTAAGAGAAAGCAGACAAGAGAAAATGATAGCAAATTTTGACAAGAATAATATGAAGGATAAATCAATCACAAGAATATTTCGAAAGGAATCAGAATCACTTTTTCATGAGTGAGAAAACTCTTAAATCTTGAAGAATTTAGAGAAACCCCACTTGATAAAAAATGAGAGAAAATTCTTCAAATTTTAGAACCACTTGTAAGATCTCAAACCAATGAACAACACTTTAGATATTAAAATTGAACTAATGAAAATAGCAATAACATAGATAATAAAAAGCTATAAACTGCTTATGATTTTAAGGACAGAATAAAAAAATTACTTTTTTAGTAAGGAAAACGATTTTTTCTTTTCTGCAACTTAAGAGCTTAACCCAATTGGGAAAGCAGTTAGAAGCAAAGAGAAGAAAGAAAGAGATAAGGCAAACACAATGAATGTGAAAAACCAATTAAAATACAACAGAGAGAGTCAATAATTTATGTAGCAGAAAACTTGGACATAAAAATAAAATAAAAAACTCTTATTTTAAAAATAAAAAATAATCTATAAAACATATCATTAGAATTCAAATTTTAGTAAGGGTTAATTATGTTTTTATCCTCTTAAATATCTCATATTTATTTTTAATATTTTTTTTTAAATTTCTTTAAAAAATTATTATTTTAAAAATTTTAATTTTAACTTTTGATCTCTCATGTTAAGTGTTGTTAAAATTATCGCTAATTCAGTCACTAAATAAAAATTCATCGCTAAAAAAAATTAAAAGCTAAAATTAAAATTTTTAAAAAGATGATTCTTAAAAAGAAATTGAAGAGATTTAAAATTAAATATGAGATATTGAAGAGAACAAAAACATATTTAACTCTTCTAATAATAACATTTATGCATGTGAGCTTCCAGAAATTATTAGCAATTTATTTATTAATAAGAATTTAACATGTGAGTTTTTCGCAGTTATTAGCATTTGTGTGAAAAATTTAATACAGAACAATATATGATTTGAATATGTATTTATAAGTAAAGAATTTTCACTTTATAAATTAATTTTATAAGGTTGAATTAAATTTAATTATATTTTTTAATATAATATCAAAGTTTGGCTTAAAATTCATTTGATTATCTAATATTAAATTTTCATTTTAAATTATTGGAGATATTCAATATTAAACGGGAAAGAGTTTATTAAGAATATCATCTCAAATTTTGAAAATGTACTCATCAGATCCTTACTTTAGTTATAGGAATAAAATAATTGTTTTTTTCTTTTTATCTAACTTAGCAAAATAAAAGAGAAAAAACAAAAATACCAACTCAGCAACACCCTAGAAAAAAAGGTTAAGATCTTCAAAATAGAAAAGAGCCAATAATATGCAAGTAATTAGTTTAGAAGAAATGAATTTCGATAGCTATTAAAAAAATGAAAGCGACGAAGCTGGTGAGGTATGATTGGACATGATGTCTTTGTGGGCACACCTTACAATTATTATAAAAAAAAATTCTTTATTATATAATATAATAGACAGTCTCGGTTTTATGCATTTTTTTCATAAATATAAATAAAATACTTGCTAATGTGACTTGGAATGGTTTATTTATTCACTTGATTGTTTATTTTTATATGATTTTTTCCTCTCATTTTTTGGTTGTTGGAGTTGTCAAATAGAAACAAACGAGGATTGGCAGCTCATCATGAATGATAGAAGCTCACCTGCTACGCACTATTAGATTCACCTAAGAGTGGGTTTTCATTTCTTATAGCATGCATCCAAGCATGTGAGTTAAATGTTTAATTTTTTTAAAAGTTAGTAGAAAATTTTAAAATTTAATTATTTTTTGATAATTTTATGCATGTTATTGTAGATTTGATATGGAACGGTTCGCGACTGCGAAAACGGTTATAATAAATGATATTAACGGATTCTTATATAAGTTATTCACTATTTTTAAGAATAAAATATGATTGATTCACATTGTCACAATTATGATTAGTGTTGTAATATCTCTAACGATTGAAATTACAAAAACATTTATACAATCGCAACATAATCGCAACTGTTTTTAAATATAAATCTTTAAGTAGAATAGGAGACATTATTTTGGAGATTTTGTTGGAACAAAATTATTCGTATCCCTTAGATTTTGATGATAACAAAGTACTTAAAGAACAACTGGGTATACTAACATATGTTTAAGTGTGCAGGATCATAAGCTTAAAAATCAACTTGGTTATGACCTTGATAAGAACGTGTGAAGAGAAGTTAAATGACTAAATTCTGAAGGATCAGAATCTGATGACTCGGAACTTGGTATCTCAACTTCTGGTGATAACTCAAATTATGAAGACTTGAGTTAAAGGTACTCAGTTTCTGATCCGTACTCTGCCTCCAGAGCAGAACTATCTTGTCAAAGCCAGATTATGGAGAAAGTCAATTAGAGTTTCTTAGTACAAGGCTCAAGGAAACTTGACATGACCTCTTAAGCCTGCTCCAACATCTTGGTAGATACCTAGTATGAGAAAGACGTCTTGGATAAAGTTATCACAAAGAGGTTGTAAATCTTAACATGACCAACTTCCAACATCTCTCTTGGAATTGCTTCTCAACAAAGGTCACTTGTGCAAGTTATCTTCCGATGTATCTTTTTCTGCCTCTATAAAAGGAGATGAACATTTGAAGGAAGACAACCAACCATCTAACAAAAACAACATTGAATATAACATTGAGCTAAAGTTATTGTAACTATTTACTGCACAAAGTCTTGAGATTTTTTATCTTTGTATATCTTAGAAATCTTTAGTGATTAAGAATCTGTGTAGGGGTGTTATATCACTTATATACTTCTGATTTTACATCAAGTATAGTCTTCATTTATTCTTCTAAACTATTTGTTTAGAGTATAGAAAGTCTATTGCTAGTTTGCTTGAGTAGTGGAAGTCTCTTGCCTGTGTGCTTAAGCAGAAGTCTCTTTCTACTGTGATTGAGCAGTTGAAGTCTCTTGCTAATTTGCTTAAGCAATTTTTAATCTGTTTGATTATAATGAAAATCTCTTGTTGGACAAGGGGACTGGACTACTCTCAGTTTGTGGGAGGAATCAGGATAACTCTCTGTGTTGTTTTAAATCTTGCTTCTGAATATTATTTATTTCGTTGCTAACAAATCTGAGTACAAATTCTCAACTTGTTCAGATTCTGAAGTTGTTTTTCAGAAGTGAAAAAGAATTAATAATACACAATTCAACCCTCTTTCTTGTGTATTTTTCTCACCTTCAGTTGGCATCAGAGCAGGGTCTGTGCTAAAGACTTAACAGTGGTACAAAAAAAGATCTTGAAGAGAAAAATACAATAGATGGTTGGCTCTCCTAAAAAACTAATTTGATTGGTGCTGGTGGTATACCATATTGTTGCACCCAAAAATTTTCCCTCTCTTTTCTCAAGACATTTCTCACCAAAGATCTCAAATGCTCAAGGGTTCTCAAGGGTTTGATTAGACAAACTCGCCTCCTAAGCACTGAGCCTCCAAATTAGGGTTTTTGTTTTCTCAAGGACAATTGGACTTTTAATGCTTCAAATGACTTTCATGGTTCATTATAAATCTCCAAGATTACTCATATCAAAATTCAAGTCTTACATCACAAATTTGCTCAGTCAATTACTTAGATGACTGAAAATCAGTTGTATGGGATAAAAAGTCAATTATGGTCAATATACAGTCAAACTTTATAATTTTTGTCCAACATCAATATTTTGAAGTCATATTCATCAATTGATCAAGTTGTCATCACAATTCCTCAAGAAAAGCATTCAAATCATCAAAGGGGCAAAATTGTCAAAATTAAGATTTTGACTGAAAATGACTGATCATTGACTTTTGACCTAGTACATGACCTAATGGATTGAAGCATGATTTCAAGGACTCAAACACAACATCTTGACCTAATCTCATGGCTCAAATCATTTCTCAAGATCAATGAATTGATAGTTGAAATTTGATCAACTGATACACAAAAAGTCAAACTTTGACTTTTTGGTCAACATTGAATTTCAAAGATCAAGATCCATCAAGACACTCAAAAATATCAAACTTGGTCAACAAGAATCAAGAAAGTAAATAAAGTCCACAAAAAGTCAAAGTTTCAATACTTAGAAAATTTATAAGTGTTTTTAACCTTGATAATTTCATTACTTCATGACAATTTTTCACCAAGAAGCAAGATGATTCAAGGGAAACTTTCATCATGAAAGTTGTAGATCTTGGTGAATTCTACAACTTTTTCCCTTAGGGTTGATGTCTAAAAAATGCTTAGATTTGAAGATATAAGCTCATAAAGACATGACATTTTTCATAAAACACTTAGTGAAAATTTTAGCAAGTTTAGGCAGATTTTTTACCTAACTTCTTGACCAATTTTCACCTAGTTCTAAGATGATTTAGCCAAAGTGGTCAACATGAAAGTTGTAGACAATGTTTCAAGCTTTCCAAAATGTCAAAGAACTTTAAGAGATTATTCTTGATCTAAGAGAATCGAAGAGAAGAAGTTAGGCATCCATTTTTTAATTACAAGTCATTTTCTTGATGAACACATAATCCAATCTCAATGTTATGTTGCATAATCTTGCTTTACAGGCCTTCTAACTTATCTATTTATCCATAACTAACGTATTACATAAACTTTTGAGCTATGATCCAAGTGGTTTAAGCATTGTCCAAGTCAATTTGCCATTTTGGGGAGAAAGTTAACATTGCCATTCTTGAAAAGCAAGCTTTATGCACAAAGTCAATTCTCGAGCCTCTCACTTATTCCCTATGATCAAACTCCATCTACAAGGTCAGAACCATTATAATTAAATTGTTTAACCACTCTATGATCAAAGGTACAAGGCATTGAAACTTGATTTTTCAAGAAAATCACATGTTGAGCT